AGGGGCTGGGAATTCACCTGTGTTCACCAGTGTCCCCAGTGCACAGGACGGGGTCTGGAACACAGCAGGTGCTCAGCAGGTGGAGAAGAATGGGGAATGCGTGAATGAGGCTGACAACTGCTGTGTCCAGTCATACAAGGGGCAGCCCTGAGGCAGGCCCCAGAGGTCTCAGTTTCCCCATCTGCTTCACCACAGTCCTCAGGAACTTCCCCCCACCCTGGGCAACACCCTCCATTCCCAGGGTCTGAGTGATCAAGACTGCCGTCATCCGTTAGTAACAGGGGTTGGCTGCCCAGGGTCATGCCATAGTTCTCACCTAAGTGAAACTCTCAGGCTGGGGAAGAACCAGCCTGCTGGCCCTGAACCAGAAAGGAGGCTCCGCCCCTACCTCACACTGGGACCCTGAGCACATCTCCTTTCTCTGAGCCTCTGTTTTCCTCCTCCGTGGAATGGGCAGTGCCCTGAGCCTGGCCGGGCTGAGGGAGTGAGGCCGGTGCTGGGTACACTGTAGGTACGTGGGTAATGTTAGTCGTTTTTTACAGTTTTTTGCCAGTGAGAGGGGTGGGTTGTGGGTGTCCAAGGGCAGGTATGCCAGGACACTGGCATATAACTGAGTCAGTAGGAGCTGAACCTGAAAGGCAGCGCACGTGTGTCCCAGTACCTACAACCCCGCCTGTGGAGCCTGTCCCTCTGGCTCCTGCCCAGCCGTGAGTGCTCGTCCATGAAGCCTGCTCTCACCTGAACAACCTTTTCCTGCCGGAACACCTCCCGGCCTGTGCGAACTCTCCCAGCTGAGAAGCAGGGCCCACTCCCAGCACCGCCCCCTGCCTTTGCATCTCTTCCTGCCTCCCAGCTCCGCCGCCGGCAACCTGCCCAGCGCGCGGCCTCCCGGCTCCTGTGGCCACATGGCACTCCAGCCCATTTTCCCCAGACCAGGAGGGGCTGGTTAAAAGGCAGAGAATGAAAAATGCTTTGAACCACAACTGTTTGAAGTCATGAGGTGGGGGGTTGGGGCAGGTCTGGCAACCTGCCTGTATCCCTTCCTCGCCCAGCAGGCCCCCACCAGCCTGCCCTGGCCCTGGCCCCGGCCCTGGCCCCGGCCGAAGCAGCCTGGGTGTTACTGTTTGTATGGGAGAAGGTTTGCAGGTCCCCGTCTACATCATCAGACCTTCTGATAGAAGCCCAGAGGTCCAGAGCCTTGCCTGAGGTTGCACAGCAAGGAGGGAGCCGAGCTGGTACACTTGCCCCACCTCGTTGGGGACAATTTGCATAACCAGATCCTCCAGGGGGGGGGGGCTGTGGGGACCAGCAAGCTGGGTTCCTGCTGCAGGTGTCCTGGCCACTCGGGCCCTCAGTGGGCTCCTGCCCACACCCCCGGGAAGTGAATATTCTCAGGTTGCTTCAGAATTTCCAAGTTTACTCAGAGCTCTCATTTGAGCTGTCATAAAAAGTCCCGTTGGCCGGGCGCCAGGGTAAGGAGTTGGGGGTGGCACCTATGAGTCCACGTGGAGGTGGGGCTCCCCTCCCCCGCCCCTCAGGTTTGGAGGGCACTGGAGGGCTGGCAGAAAGACCTGTGAGGAAAGGCTGTCGGGAAGTGCTTGTTCCTGTCTTCACAGCTTTCTTCCCTCTGCTGATAAATGACTTCCTGGGTGACCCTAGGAAACCTCACCGTCTCTGAGTCTCAGTTTTCCCATCAGTGAAAGTGGGGAGTAGAATCATCGTAAGAGCTATGATTTATTGAGGGCTGAGCCAATGCCAGCAGCCACGCCGAGTGTCCTAGCTAAAGGTGATTATTGCCAATGATACTGACAGTAAAACGCCGGTGCCACCAGCGCACTGGCTCCATCTGTCTGGGCACCACTGCGTCCCCAGGACCAGGACAGTGCCTGGAGCACGGCCGGTGCTCAGTAAATACATGTTGAACAAAACCGCACAACAAGCCCGAGCCAGCTGTGACTTCCATGGAGCAGATGAGGAAACTGAGGTTCAGTGAGGTTAGTGGCTTACTCAAGGTCACACGGGTCCTAAGTGATGGGGCTGGGACTCAAACCCAGGTCTGGCTGATTCCAAAGCCCCACATCACACACGGTGGTGTGTGGGGGAGCCAGACCCAGCGCCCCACCTGGCGGTGAAGGCACTGCCCTCCCTGCTGGGGACGGAGGGGTGCCCTTCATTCGTCTTTGTAATCAGGCACCAGGAAGGTCACGATGCTGCAGAGAAGTTGGTGCCTCCGAAACCCCCAGTGGTCTGCTTTCCTCCTTCCACATTCTTCTGAACCGGCTCCACCCACTGCCCACAGACCTTTAGGGACTCCCACCCCTCTCTTCCTCTCGGAGGGGGTGCAAGCCTGCAGCACAGCTGAGGGTTCAGCCTTCATCTCGTCTGCCCCCTCCCCGGGCCATGGGCCTTGGCCACCTCCTCACACAGGGCTCCCAGCTTCCTCCACTGATGGGCTGGAAGGATCCAGACACCCTGCCAGGTGTGGGGTGGGCAGTACTAGGGCTTCTGCTGACCTGCCACAGGAAACAGGTGACTAGGGCCACCCCTCTGGGATCCACCCAGCCCCCTTGATCCAATGCCCCTTCTCAGGAAATGCCCCAGGACTATGAGTCTTACTTTTACGTCATCCTGTCCAGCAGGTTTTAGCCTTGCTGTCAAAGAGACCGAGGGGACAAACCCAGTCTACATCTTACAGTCACAGCTGACCTGGGGCAAGGTTCTCCCCAGTGAGCCTCAGTCTTCTCTGTGAAATGGGCTGAATGAGGCCAACAGCCTCACGTGGTGTTGGGAGGATTATGGGAGACCCTCACGTGCCTGCAGCATACTAAGCGCTGAGGCCAGGAGCACAGGACCCAGGGTGCCGAGAGAGGCAAGATGGCTGGTTCCAAAGGTGGCCCTGTACCTTCTGCTGCTCTTGGAGAGTGGCCCTTCTCCCTGAGCCCAGGTTCCCCATGAGGCAAATCCCCTTCCTAGGAAGGCCTCCAGCCAGCAGCTTTCATATTTTAATGACTTTGAATCCTCACAACCAGCCCTACAAAGATGGAGCTGCCTTTGTCCCCATTTTACAGATGAGAACACCAAGGCTCCATGGAGCTGGAAGAAGCACAGAGACCTGCCCGAGCTTACCCAGCTAGGAAGTCACATGGCTGGATTTTGCACTCCCAGGTTTTCCCCGCTGCACCATGTGCTTCTGAAACCCCTGCACTTCCCCCGGGGCAACGCAGGTGTCCTGCCCGCAGCAGCCTGACTCAGTGATGCCCCTGCCCCGGGCCCTCTGCCCTGCACTGAGCGGCGACTTGCCTTTCCTTCCACACATCCTAAGTTCCCACTCTTGGCGCCTGCGTCCCAGTCCTCTGCCAGGGCCGCGCCTGCTCCTGCCCTCGCCTCTATTTCACAAGGCAGAAATCAACCCGTCCTTCAGGGCTCAGTCCTGACCGCCCCGTCCCCACGCTCGCCTCTGCTCCGTGCACACGCACAGAGCCAGTGTGCCCTCGCCTCTCCTCAGTGAGCACACACAGAGCCAGTGTGCCCTCACCGCCTCGCCTCTGCTCCGTGAGCACACACAGAGCCAGTGTGCCCTCACCGCCTCGCCTCTCCTCCGTGCACACGCACAGAGCCAGTGTGCCCTCGCCTCTGCTCCGTGAGCACACACAGAGCCAGTGTGCCCTCACCGCCTCGCCTCTCCTCCGTGAGCACACACAGAACCAGTGTGCCCTCACCGCCTGGCCTCTCCTTCGTGCACATGCACAGAGCCAGTGTGCCCTCACCGCCTCGCCTCTCCTCCGTGAGCACACACAGAGCCAGTGTGCCCTCACCGCCTCGCCTCTGCTCCGTGAGCACACACAGAGCCAGTGTGCCCTCACCTCCTTGCCTCTCCTCCGTGCACATGCACAGAGCCAGTGTGCCCTCACCGCCTCGCCTCTCCTCCGTGAGCACACACAGAACCAGTGTGCCCTCACCGCCTCGCCTCTCCTCCGTGCACACGCACAGAGCCAGTGTGCCCTCACCGCCTCGCCTCTCCTCCGTGCACACGCACAGAGCCAGTGTGCCCTCACCTCCTCGCCTCTCCTCCGTGAGCACACACAGAACCAGTGTGCCCTCACTGCCTCTCCTCTCCTCCGTGCACACGCACAGAGCCAGTGTGCCCTCACCGCCTGGCCTCTCCTCCGTGAGCACACACAGAGCCAGTGTGCCCTCACTGCCTCTCCTCTCCTCCGTGCACACGCACAGAGCCAGTGTGCCCCCACTGCCTGGCCTCTCCTCCGTGCACACGCACAGAGCCAGTGTGCCCTCACCGCCTGGCCTCTCCTTCGTGCACACGCACAGAGCCAGTGTGCCCTCACCGCCTCTCCTCTCCTCCGTGCACACGCACAGAGCCAGTGTGCCCTCACCACCGTTTCCCTGTGCTGTCAGGAGAAAGATGAGCAGACAGCACGTGGAAGGCAGGACCGCCCCCCATCACCTGCTTGATTGAGTCACCCTGGGAAATCACTCTACCTCTCAGAGCCTCAGTTTATTATCTGTAAAATGGGCACACCAACTTGTTTTGAAGGGATTAGATAAAATAAAGGAGATAAAACACAGAAGCTGGCAAAAAGCTGATGCCCGCCCACCCCAAATGGGCTCCTCACAGTGTCACACTATAACGCCCATGCTAACCCCTGCCCAGCTCAGCTGCCCAGAACCACGGTGACTGTCGAGTCAGGTTCGATCTGGATCTAGCTTCCCCTTCCCAGCCCCTCACCTTTGGGAAGCTGGTTTCACAGAGAGTTCCTGGGGTCATCTCAGCCATGCCCCTGCCCCAGGCCCGCGGGCCTCCAGCAGACCCACACAAAGGCCCTCCAGTCACCCTGAGCTGGGCCAAACAGGAGACTCCAGCCCAACTCTGCCGGCCTCACTCACTGTCCCCAGCTGTGGTGAGGGCTGGGACCCCTCTGTGCCCTTCCGCTGGGCAGAGAAGGTGCCCCGCCCCCGTGGAAACAGTGGTTGAGTTATGTTACCTGCTTTCTAGCTTCATCCTCAGAAATCCATCCTGTGTGTCCAGGGCAATCCAGGGGGCTCCCAGCGGCGGCAGCTGGGTTCCGTGTGGTGGGAGGTGAGGGTCCAAGAGACAGGCGGGGGCTAGGATGGGAATCCACAGCCGACCTGAGTCACGGACCATATAAGCATATGACCTGACACCTAGGCAGACGGAAGCTGGGCTCTGGGCAGGCAGGCCACGCAATGGTCAGTCACATCCCGAAGAGGTCACACATGGACAAAAGGCAGTCATTGCGGGGCAGGGACAGATCGGAGGTACAGGGATGGACAGACCGCAGACAAGGGCTAGTCAGGCAGACAGACAGACAAGAGAAGTGAAATGGGCACAGCAGAAGTGAAGCGAACAGGCAGGTAGCCAGCCAGGCAGACAGACAGGCAGACAGACAGGCAGACAGAAAGTCAGGCAGGCTGTCAGTTACACTCAGGGAGAAGCAGGCAGACATTCGAACCCCGAGCCCATCTGTCACTTGGCAGGGGGTCACCAGCGGGTCCACCAGACGCAGTGGCCACCAGCCCTGCCCCGGAGCGAGTGCAGGGTGGGGAGGAAGAGGAGGGAGAGGAGGATGTGGTGAGAGCGCGGCACCGCCCACAGAGCAGCTGGCTCCTCCCCAGAGAGGGTGAGAAAGAGGTGGGAGGGGGCCCGGCTCCCAGGCAGGGCCCCAGGCTCCCCAAAGCTCACCTGCTAGGAATACATTTGAGGTTACCAGAATGACGTCTGCCCCAAGGTCATGACCCATAAGGCAGCAAAGCAGCCTTGAGCCACTGCTTCTCACAGATGTAGAAACGGGGGCTCAAAGGGGTGCAGTGCTGGGTGGACAGGGAGGTCCATGGCGGTCCTGAGAGTCCAACGCTCAGCTCAGAGAGAAGACTAGGAGCCCAGTCCCAGGGAGAGGCGGTGGCAGGGGCCCCACCTCAGCCCCTCTTCTAGAGTGTGCAGTCTGGCTTGCCTGACCTGGGCGCGCTGCCTGCCTGGCCCTAGGCGGCTGAGTCTGGGACCCCCTTGGCCCCTGTTTCCTTTGAATCCAGCCTCCTGCTGCAGTGCTGGGGGATCAGGACCCCGTCTCCACACCCTTGGGCATGTCACATCATCCTTCTGAATGCCTCCCTTTGCCCATCTGTTAAATGGGGACACCTAGCCACCGGGAGGGGGGGCAGCCATCAACACGTGGGAACTCAGGAGGAAAAGAGAGAAGAGGTTTGCCTGAGTCTGTGAGGGGGGGGCTGTTTCAGGCAGACCTTTAAGAAGCCAGGGGACAAAACCCAGCAAACACACCATGTTTTGATGACATGGGTCGGCTCAAGCTCCAATGCCACCTCTCCCCCACTGACTCATTTTTGGGAAACAATTTGCAGCTAACCCGCATGTCTGGCCTTAAGAAAAAAAAAGAAAGCATCTTGCTATTTATTTCTTCTAATTTTTTTTTTTCCTTTTTCTAGCTGTGTTTGAGGAACTTGGTACAAATTCCCCTGTGGCCGTTTTGAAGGATGTTTGCCCTATAGAAGTTCTCGTCCCTGCTACCAAAATATTATCACATGTTCTCTGGACAACAAATCTTGGAAGAAAGCCAGCTTCTTCTTTTTCTTTCTCTTGATCTTGAGGGTGAGTTTTCTGATACCATGTAGCAAATATTTACCACAATGGGAAGATCAGAGAAGGAATAGTGAAAGCTTACTCTGTGCCCAGGACTTGAAGACTGTGTCTCACTCCGAATGACTGGAGAAACTGGTTATTGCCATCATCACTGTCGTCCCATTTTACAGATTAAAAAACTGATGCTCAGGGAGGTTAAGTGACTTGTCCAGTGTGGCACGCAGTTAGGCATGAACAGAGCAAGGACCATGGGCCAGGTACACAAGGTCATGGGGGGGGGGGGGGGGTGCATAGCAACAGGGAAAACTAGGAAAACTAGGACTGCACTCCCAGGGTGGCCTTTGCTCCCTAGCTTATCGCTAGTCAGGAGGTTATACCCCCCGACCTTTCATATCGCTGGTAATGTGGTCAGGACCCTCCTCTGGTCTTTCCTCCCCTGGCATGTCTGGTGGGCTGGACCCCCGCAGAGGAGGAACAAACAAGGGGGGCAGAGAGCAGCCCTTAAGCATTCAGCCCCCAGGACACTGAGGTTCTGACCCGCATCAAGTACATCTGGGTCTCAGAAAAGCAGCAGAACCAGACAAGCAAAGCCACGGCTGACATCAGGACCAGCTGACTAAGGACCCCCTGCCCTGGAACCAAACAATCAGTGGAGACCAGGACTCTGAAAGGACACACCTGGGAAGCTGACGCATGTTCTATTGAACCCTTCCCCTAGGACCGCCCCTAAAACCCCTGCCTTAGAAGCAGAAGGACCCAGATCTCTCTCCTGGGGGCTCGCCGGTGCCTTTCCCCTCCCCCTCTCCTTCCCCTCAGGTGTGTGACCTTTACCTTTCTCTCTCCAAAGCTCCAAGGGCCCTCCTTCTGCCTCTGGACTTGTTCCAGAGCCCATTTCTTCTACAGCTCACTTCTACCTCGATGACTTTCTAAGTAAACTTTCTCTTACAGTTGGAGTCTTGGCCCTGAATTCTTTCCCAGCTGGTACTCAAGAACCAAGGTCCAATAGCCAGTACCACTCTGGTGCCAGTCCGCTGACAACACACGGTCACACGGCTGGGACCGGACTCAGCATTTGGGCTCCTGAGTTTACATTCTTGACCACTGACCTCTGCTCTGGATCTACGTCAACCCAAAGATATTCAGTCCCTCCCTCCCACCTGCCTACCTGTCTTCATTCTTGGTCCTCTCTCTCCTCTCCACTCGCCCACTCATCTGCCTGCCCACTCATCCATTCTATTCTTTTAGAGAGACAAAAAGAAACATCAACTTGTTGTTCCTCTTAGTTACGCATTCATTGGTTGATTCAAGTATGTGCCCTGACCAGGGATCAAACCCGAAACTTTGGGGTATCAGGATGACCCTCTGATCAACTGAGCTACCCGGCCAGAGTCACCATTCATTCATTCTTCTCTCCACCTACCCACCCAACCATCTGTTCTCTCCTTCCTGCCTTCTACCCACCAATACTCAGCAGGCCCTTGAGTATGTCCTGGGGATATCCTACAGAAATATATACAAGTGACACCTTCACAGAGCCCTTGTATTCGAGTAGGAAGTGACAGGCACAAAGAAGTATCAAACTAAACGAATTCTCATAGAAACTGAGCTATGTGTGATAGAAAACCAATAAGAGGTCCAGGTAGTGACATCGAGGGGCGCACTTGATGGTCAGAAGGACCCAGCCATAGTAAAACGTTTTGGGCAGAAGGAACTGCAAATGCAAAGGCACTGAGGTGGGAAGAAGCATGGCTTGCTCCAGGAGCCTGAGAGCAGAGTGGCGGAGCAGAGCGAGCAAGCAAAGGAATACCGAGGGACCAGTCGGGAAGTCACACATCCTGCACACCACATGGGACCTTGCAGGCCAATGCAGGGAAGGTAGATTTGGTTCCAAAGGAAACTGGGAGTCATCAGAGAAGTGGATTAATCCAATTTATGTTTTCAAAAGAGTGCTCAGGTCATAATTTAGTGAGTGGATTGGAGGTGGCAGAAGACACTCAACTTCTTGTGTTTAAAAAGTAGATACTTTTTGCCCAGCCTGTGTGGCTTAGTGGTTGAGCATTGACCCATGCATCAAGAAGTCACCGGTTCGATTCCCGGTGAGGACACATGCCCAGGTTATGGGCCCAATCCCCAGTGGGGTCATGCAGGAGGTGCCAATCGATGTTCTCTCTCATCGATGTTTCTATCGCTCTCTCTTCCTTCCCCTCTTTAAAATCAATAAAGAGCCCTGGCCGGTTTGGCTCAGCAGTTAGAGTGTCAGCCTGCGGACCCCAGAGAGTCCGGGGTTCGGTTCCTGCTAAGGGCATGTACCTCGGTTTCAGTTTGTCCCCGGCCCTGGTTGGGGTCATGTGGGTGGCAGCCACTCGATGTGTCTCTCTCACATAGATGTTTCTCTCTCTTCCTCCCTCTCTCCCTCCCGCTCTATCTGATGCAAAAATGTCCTCAGGTGAGGATAAAAATAAATAAAAGAAGAGAAGAGAAGAGAAGAGAAGAGAAGAGAAGAGAAGAGAAGAGAAGAGAAGAGAAGAGAAGAGAGAAGAAAAGAGAAAGAAAAAATATTAAGAATAAATAAATAAAAAGTAGATATTATTGAAAGTTGAAATGTAACAGCTACCATGTCCATTGGGGTGAATATGAGTCCCTTCAAAAATAGATCTGTGTTGAGGGAAGGGTCCCTTGAAGGACCCCTTTGGGTCTGTTTATTTAAGAGCAAGCCCCCAAGGTCTCAGAAGGAGGATGTAATAAGATCTGTAAACACCCCTTAGTATTCAGAACTGGTCACTTGGGAGGAAGTGGTTAAATTTGCATTTCAGCCAAGGGGCTTGGGGGCGGGGGTGAGAATAAATGAGACAACCCCTCCTTCAACCCATTTCCTCCTTTTTATTTTTATTTTAACAGTTTTATTGAGGTATAATTTACATAGCATCAAATTCAGCCATTATAAGCAGACAATTCAATGATTTTTAGTAAGTTGACTGAGTTTTGTGCTCACCACTGCAGTGGAGTTGTAGGAATTGTAGAGATTGTAGCATGTTTCCAAAAAGACCCCTTGTGCCTGTTTGCCATCGGTCTCATTCCCACCCCCAACCCCACCAATCACCTTTCTGTCCCTACTGATTTTCATTTTTCGTTTTGTTTTGTTTAATCCTCACCTGAGGATATTTTTTCAAATATCTTCAGATAGAGTGGGATGGGGAGAGAGAGACACACACACATGGACTGGCTGACTCCCGCACAACCCCAACCAGCACCGGACAAACCACAACCAAAGTATGTGCCCTTGGCTGGAATCGAACCCGAGACTCTTTGGTCCGAGGGCCCACACTCTATCCAATGAGCCAAACCGGCCAGGGCTTTCCTTTTTGTTTGCTGGACTTTTCATACAAATGAAATCATGCAACATGGGATCTTTGGTGGGGGTTTTTGTTGTAGTTTTTTTTTTCTCAGTATGTATTTGAGGATTATCCACGCTGTGGCATGGACTTCATTCATTCTTATTGCTGAGTAATGTTCCACTGCCGGCATGTCCCACACCTGGGTTGCCAGGTCGTCAGCTGATGGACATTTAGACTGTGCTCACGCTGTCTGTTACGAGTAACACTGCTGTGAACCTCACCGGGCACTGCTTATGCAGATGCGCATTTTCAGATCTTTCGGATATATACCCAGGAATGGATGCTGAGTCATACAGTAATTCTGTGTTTAACGTACTGAGGAGATAACACTGTTCTCCACGGCAGCTGCACCATTTGACATTCCGACCAGCAATCTATGCAAGTCCCAGCGTCTCCGCGTCCTTGTCCACACTCCCTGTTTTCCTTTTTACTGGAGCCATCCTGGCAGGTGTGAGGTGGTGTCCCATGGTTGTTTTGCTTTGCATTTCCCTAATGGCTAATGCAGTTGAATGAACATCTTTT